GCCCGGCCCTCCAGCCCCCCCCGCCCCGGGAACGGGCCCAGCGCACGCCCCGGCCCGGCAGCCCGGCCGCGACAGCCAGGCTACACGAAAACAAAAGGGAACAGACGAATAATAAGGGGGGGAGGAAAAAAAAAAGAGGATTGGCAAAGTGAAAAGACCAAGAGGCGAGGGACGGGGCACCTGGCTGGACTCAAGTCGTACAGCAGAGAGGCAATAGCGGAAAATTGACATTACTGCTACAGCTGCGCGCAGATTAACAGAGGGACCCATCAGTCCGTGACTCTGCACCTTTCTCATGCAATTTACGGCAACGGAGACCCGATGCCCGGGCCGTGGGCGCACTGTGCAGAGGTGCCAGGAGCACGCCACGGCGCAGCCCACGGAGGACTGGAGCTGCCGCACTGGTCCTCGGCTAAACGGACAATTTCTGGTTTGTGTCCCTGTTACAAACACGGGATTTCTGATGCATGCAACATTTTGTCCTTCACCAAGTGGCTGTGAAGCTTTGTCTGTCCTGCGCACAGAGCACGGCACTGACACGGATGAAGAATATCCTGCCTGAGCTGAGAGAAGAAAGACTCCCACCCCAGACCACCAGAGTAAATCTGGAAAGCTTGGCTGCGCTTGCTGGACTACCTCAGGATTTACCAAGGCATTCACAAAAGCTGAATTTGGCCCAAAAGTCAGGGAAGAAGAGTGCAGTCAGCATTTGCTTCCCCGAAAGAATCAAGCTTGCCAACTTCTCCTTAATACGAGAGGCCAAGCCTGCGGCATCACTAACTGACTCCAGCGGCCGCATGCCAAGGCTGAGGTTGCCCGGTTGCCCGCCTGCACTGTGGCACCATGCCAGGCCCAAGGAGCGGCGGGAGCACCCCCGCCTTTGTGCCCGTATCCAGGCATCGGAAAGTGCTCCCGCTCCTCCCCGGCAACTCATCCCTCTGAAATACCACTGCGCTGGCTTCAGAGGAGACAAAAAGACACCATTTCTGTAGCCAGGGGCTAAAACAACAAAAGCGACAGCAGCCGCCTCTGCAGGTTGGGTTAAGGCGACTCCAGAGCAAGCTCTCCTGCTTCGCCCGACTCCCGCTGCCAGCAGCTCCTGCTCTCAGCACGCACCCTGCTCCCGCAAGAACAGATAGATTGTCCCCCCTCCATCACCCAGACTGTGCAACTGGCCCAGGAGAAAAGCCTTTCCCTTCGGGCTGGGACTGTTCACCATCGTCCCTTGTGAGCACAGCCACGGCAGCATCCCTGCTCCCACCTGGGAATGGGGTCCTCCAACGGCATGGCTTGCAGGAGTCCTGGGGTCATGCTCCTGCTCCCAGGTGTGACACTGCCTGACAGACAGAGCAGCACAACGCAGGATGCCCACCACCCTCAAGAAATGCACAGCTCAAAATCAGAATCTTGGTTAATGGGTGCCAACCCACGCTGACCACCTTGGCTGCTGTCCCTCAGGGTGTCCATCAAAGGAATCAGCAGCTCGGTATCCACAGCACCATCACCCCTGATGGTCACAGCTAGGTCAGAACCATTCCCACCAGACTAAATCATTGATAATCAAGCACGACACATAGAAATGGTAAAAAAGAACCGCACTTCACTTCCCTTCATTGAGGGTTGCAGTGCCATCATACCTCTAAGCATAACTTCTCAAAACTCCCTCTTCAGTTTTCCACTGAGGCTGTTTTCCCCTGCATGCTGTGCTGGGACCAGCACGCGGGATGGGAGCTGGGGCAGGGAGGAGCTCAGCCTGCCGCCAGCCTTGCCAACCCCGCACACCTCGCACGTCCACCCATTCCCAAGAGGCCGCCGGGTCTAGCTGCTTACCTGTGAGCTCCTCACGTGTTGTTTGGGGCACAGAGCTTCAGCAGACCCCTGTCAACCCGCGCTCTCTCTTATTAGGCTTTTTTTAAAAACCTGAAAGAAATGACACAGCACGCAAGGAAGAAATGTAAAATAAAGGTTGCAGAGGTATGAACAGGCTATGGAAAATGTGAACCTTTGCCTTCCACTACTGAATTCATCCAGGGAGAAACTGTGCTCTCTGACCAACAGCTGCCTGTGTAATACAGCATTTATACTAGGTGTATTCTGCACTTAGAATACATGCATTTTATATACTTACTGTTACAAGCAGTATTTTCAGAGCAGTTTTCCTTTGACTTGAAGTCCTTTTCTTCTGTGATCTCTTGCAGGCAGGTGAACCTCATGTATCATTCTCTTTTTCATTTTAAATGATGGAGCATTTTCCCCATGCTAGATACTGACCTTCTACCTCTTAAGCACCCTCTTTCTCTTCAGTAAAATGAGATTATGTTGAATAGTGACACTCAAGTACCTTTGGCATGAAAAAGTAGAGAAGGCCACGAAATCTCTCTTTAAAGCCATTTCTCCCACAAATCCCACTTCTGGCTTTACTCCTGGTTTCATGACTATCCCCTCCATGCCCACTGCCAGGGCTGTAACCCCATGTTTATAGGCCACTGCCCTACCCCAATCCCCCTCCTCTCTCCTTATCCCTCCCAGCCCGTCCTCGCACCCACCACAGCGAACCCAGAGAGCTGACCCACCTGCAAGCTCTCCTCTTTGCTGCTTTCCTAGTTGACTAAACATTTTCTCCAGTTCTGAAAAGCACTGGCTCAGTTTCTAGCATGCTAGGTAAGATTAAATAATCACCCTCACAGATGTAAAATATCACCATATGATTTATTAAAAAGTCCACAATTTTTACGGAGCTTATGAAAACATGGGGGGGAGGGGTTGTAAGCGTCCAGTGAAACAAGTGTCCTGTTCAGCTTTCTGCAGGTATCGGTCCCCAAATCGAAGGGTACATGAGCATCGCTTCCAGGGCAACACCAGCTGTGAGGGCGCGGAGGCACAGGGCAGGGACTGCCCTATTCCCACCTGCAGCTCTTCAGACCAACTCGGCTGTGCCTTCAAAACTTCTCCAAAACGCTGGGCCTTCCCAAAGCCCGAGCTAACATCCAGCAATGGCATCGCTCTCTAGTCCCACGGGGCCGCAGAGCCCACCAGCAGCAGGGGGATGGGTTTGGACTTCCCGGGGTAACAAAGCTCGTGCAGTGCAGCGTGGGCTGCATCCAGCTGGCACACATACAAGTAAATACCCACAAAATTGTGCAGAACCCCCCGCAGGAAGGCTCTGCTGCTGCTCATCACCTTCTGCCTCTCCTTGGGCAGCAAGAAGCCATTGTCTGTCGAACTTGAGTTATGAACTAAGAAGAGGCAATGAGAAGACACTCTCCAAACAAATTCACACTTCTGTGTAAAGCAGAATTCAGATATATTTAAGGAGAAAATACTTCTCTGTTGTGCTGTTTGGAAGGTAAGTATGATCAGATTTGGCTCTTCATTCAATAATTTCATTCCTCTATCATGCACTTCCCATTTCTTTCCCCTTGAGATTTACTTAATCCTACTTGAGAAAAGAAAACTGCTGATCAAGATGGGAGTTATTTCAGCATCTGTTGCTGAAACGTTACTTCATTTCTCCTGTCCTTTTTACTCTCCAGCACTCAGCAGTTTCCTCCAAGACTCTTAACTTCTCTTGTCTTCTGTTAATTAAAACCCAATTAGGATTGCCTGCTGATAACTGCACACTGGTCTAACAAAGCCTGGCCTGTTGCTGGGTTTATTTTAAGTGTCATATGAATCTGCAACAGCAGGTCTTACTGGAGCATAAACATAGCTCAAACTATTCTCTGCAAGCGTTCTTCTTCTTGCATGTGCTGTGCTAATTTGGCGAAAAGGTCTCTCTAGAAATTGTTTTCTTCAAAAATATTTTAAAAAAAATCCTTATGTTTCACACCTTGCATAAAATTGACAACGTTGATAGCTTTTAAATACCAACAACAGGGGAAGCAAGAAGGAACACAGAGGAAAATCGGTGTAACCACTGTGACCATGCCACTACCTTGCTCCAATACGTCCCGGTGAGGGACGATGAGCCCCCATGGCTAGGGGCATCCAGCTGCTTGGGCAGCTTAGGCAAACTGCACCTCCTAACCCCATCTGAAGATGTCACTGGCTACTTTTTAGCACCTTAGAACAGCTCTAGGAGTCATATGGCTTATTCCTATTCATTGCACAATAATCCTGCAATCTATTCTGCATTAAAAAAATAAGCCTTTCTGTAAATACAGTGTTATTTTTCCTGCTTTGCCTGCAGCCTCCTTTATATCGCTCCATGGAAAGTAAGCATATACCTCAGTGAACCCACTACTGAAATGTTGCCACAGCTACAGAGGTAAGCTAAGCAGCAGCAGTCACAGCACGAGGAGCCACAATACACACAAAAGCACTCCACTGTCATTTGGAAATGATAAGTCCATCTGGCACATTTGTTTTCAGTCATATAAAGAATTCCTCCTCATCATCCTCCGCTCTGTTTGCGGGGCTGGCTCGTGGTGTTTGCAAGTGGAACCCCGAAGCTCTTTGCCTTTCTCTTTCACTCCTTTTGGCTGCAGCAAACAGCAGCTGAGTCCTGTCCTGGCAGGGCACGGCACCACTGGCCCCATCCACAGGTGCTCGCGGCTGGAGGAGGCTGCTCCGCAGGTCCCTGGAAAAGCGGTTCAGCAGGCAGCGGCCGCTCGCAAGGTTCGCCACCGTAAGCCCGGTGTCAACGTTGGTCTCCGCTGCCTGCTGACGAATGCAGCTCTCCTGGAGAGAAGCCTGCAGCTTGCTGCTCGCCTGCCTGCGGAGAGAGGTGGCATCCCACCACGACCGGGTGGCTGGACCGCTGTGAGAAGAGCAGAAGTGCCTGTGGAGGTCACCACTGGCTTGCTCAGGAGTAAGGGCTTCGCTTTGGTCAGATTTTGGTTTACCCTTTGTGGATCTGACCTCCTGGCTTCTCCACCCAGGATTACCCCGCTTCACAGGGAAAGGGGCTGGGACAGAGTCCTGCAGGATTTTTTCATTGCCTGCATTATTATGCTGATGGGAAAACCCAACATTTGCTTCATGGGGCTTGGAGCTGTCTTGAACCTGTTGAAGAAAATTTGGAGAGAACCCCATTAACATACCGTTCTACCTTGATGTCCTGGTTTCAGCTGGGATAGAATTGATTGTCTTCCTAGTAACTGGTACAGTGCTATGTTTTTGAGTTCAATATGAGAAGAATGTTGATAACACTGATGTTTTCAGTTGCTAAATAATGTTTAGTCCAAAGTCAAGGATTTTTCAGGTTCTGATGCCCAGCCAGCAAGAAGGCTGGAGGGGCACAAGAAGTCAGGAGGGGGCACAGCCAGGACAGCTGACCCAAACTGGCCAAAGGGGTATTCCATACCGTGTGACATCATGCCCAGTATATAAACTGGGGGGGAGTGGGGGTGGGGGATCGCCGCTCAGGGACTAACTGGGCATCGATTGGCAGGGGGTGAGCAATTGCACTGTGCATCATTTGTATATTCCAATCCTTTTATTATTACTGTTGTCATTTTATTAGTGTTATCATTATCATTATTAGTTTCTTCTTTTCTGTTCTATTAAACCATTCTTATCTCAACCCACAAGTTTTACTTCTTTTCCTGATTTTCTCCCCCATCCCACTGGGTGGGGGGGGGAGTGAGTGAGCAGCTGTGTGGTGCTTAGCTGCTGGTTGGGGTTAAATCACGACACTTGACCAAGCGATGTTGCTCTCACCCAGCCTCGCTGTGCTGAAATCACCTGCAGTGTGAGTCAGTCAGGGCCCCACTAGAGAACAGCATTGGAGTCTTACAAGCCTGAGCGATGGCAGATGAAACTTAATGTAGATAACGTGATGCACATGGAGAAAAACAATCCCAGCTTCACATACAAAATGCTAGGTTGTAAGCTGACTGTAACCCAGGGGCCTAATTTCTGTGACAGGCAGCACCATGTTAGCATCAGTTCAATGCCTGACAGCAGTCTAGAAAGCAAATGAAATCTTAAGAATTATTCCGAACTAAATGGAGAACATTGTTATGCGTGGTGCAGCTCTGGTCCCAAAGCTGGACCATGGTGCCTGTCCCTCACCTGCAGCTCACAACAGAGTATCATGGAGGTGGAAGTGCTCAGAAATGGACAACAAAGATAATTGCAAGTACAGTAAAGGAACAATCATGCATGCTGGTAATTTTAAGCCTGGGGAAAAAAACCAGTTTGGGAGGGAGAGGATAAAAGGCTAAAACACCATGAGCCACCTGGAGAAACAGATAGGCATTGTTCATTCCCCACCATCTGCAATGCAAGAAGCAGAGGCCATCAAATGAAGCCAGCTGGAGACAGTTTCAATTAAATGAATGTGGCAATAGACCAGGGGAAGTCCCTGCCAAAGTATGTTGTGGATAAAAAAAGTTCACATGGATTCAAGGAGAAACTAGATGAACACTTGGAAAGGAGAGTCACTGCCCGTTACCACAGCTGGCTTCAGAAGACCCTGAAGTTTAACACAGGCAGCTCAGGAGTCTATCAGTGGGGTGTAACACATGCATTTGTCCTCTTGCTGTTCATGCCAAGGCAGCCACCTATGGTCAGACACAGGGCTGTGGGCAGACAGATGTGGCTGAAACCCAGTCTAGACAAAAAACCTGAATCACCATGTAGTAGCTATCAAGCTCTTACACCTCTGTTTGGGATTTTCCTGATGGCAGCATGCACATGCTGTGGTGCTCATGGGCAGCTTTCAGAGAGCCCTCAGCACTAGTGCACACACACGACAGATTTGCTGCAGGTGACCTAAACACAGCACACACAAATAGCTGTGCCTGTCCCCAAACCTTCTTGGTGGCTATAGAACTACCGGAGCTCCTTCACATCTGCAAATCCTGACTGGCTGTTTTTGGAAAGAAACTTGTTCAGGAAGCTCTGGATCAAATGGCATTTCTTTGATGGCTGGGCAACACGTGGACCAACAGTAATCCAGGGAGGAGACACCCATCAGACCAGTGAGGCCAAGGGGACCAGGACCTGCTGAGCGTGTCCCACTTCTTCCCATGGGGCGTGCCGCCCCTGGGGACACCAGCCCAGAGCAAGGCACCTGCCTCACCAATCCTCTGCAAGACTAGAGACACATTTCATGTCTTTATTTACAAAACAGCACACGGAGATGGCCCTACTCTCCTACTTAAGACTCCTACTTGAGTCTTATGGCTAAACTTGTAAAATTTGAGCCACAGGGATCTGCTGTAAACACTCAGAGAAAGGACATGGAATGGAACAGTAATTAGTGAGCAACTTCAGCAAAAAAAGAGAGGATGTGCTTTATTTACTTCTTTATCAAACTAGGTGGCTTGGGTTATCTCTTCCCCAATAAAACCAAGGAAAGAGTTCTTGCAGGCTCAGGGTGGTAGTCTGCAAGCAGACCCTTGGATTTGGTTTGCAATAAGTCAGAGGGGAAAAAATAAATCATTTTCAGGTACTTAGACTAAAGATTTACAGTATGAATTGAAGCATTGTGAAATAAAGTGCTGTGTGCTAGGCTGTCAGCATGCTGTGTGGAGCACGGACACAAGATACACATCCTCAGGTTCAAGTGGACTCCAGCTTCCCTTGCCAGGAGCACAGTGCAGCATGGGTACACCCCCAAAAAAGCTTCCAAATTTCCTGCCAATGAATTCATGTGTGTCTGTCAGCTTAAAGACCTTGTACCTACAGCAGGAAGAACCACAAAGTAATTTAGGAAGGGACCTCTGGAGGTCACCTGCCCAGTCCTCTGCTCCAGGCAGGACCAACTTCAAAGCTACATGAAGATGCTCGGGCCTTGTCCAGTCCAAGTGGGTGGCAAACCAGTTCATAAAGTAATACTGAATGAGAAGTACAAAAAGGCTGCCCTGAGGATTAGTGCTCAGAGTAGCATAAAAATAGGCCAGAGAGAATAATTAACTTGATTTGTAACAAATGAGCTATGGAAGGAAAAAATAAAAACACAGGATGGGCAAATTATTTAAATATCCAAATTAAAAAAAAAAAAAAAATCAGAGGTGGGAAGGGTTGTTACAATAGAAAGAAAGCACTCTGAGCTAAACTGCCCTCCTGCTCACATGTATAATTCCCACTATGTATGATCTTAGCGCAATCTTTTTTTGTTGTTTTTTTTATTTATTTGTATTCATACAACCTCTGGACCACACACTTGAACAGAAAAGGCAGAGATTTCCTATGAAACACTTCTTTGGCACTTTCACCCAACTGCAACTCACTCAAAAGCTCACAAAATCTATCACAGGCTATGTTGTATCAACACTGTACTTATATCTGGTTTTGGATGCTAAATATCTGCTTTCAAAAACATTTATAATGTAATAACTTATCAAAAGAATAGGCTGCTACGATCATTTGATTCAGGCAGGGAAGGAAGGATGTTAAACTAGCCTGCTCAAAAAAGCATTAATACTTTTAATTTCAGGCAAGCAGTAATGATGTTAATGTAACAATATAAAAACATTCCAAGGATCTGTGCTTATATTTATCAACAGCATCACAGCACTGGCAGATACCAATTACTGCATTCACAAATTCAGAAGAAAGCATGAACAAGCAAAATCTTAATTTCCATTTTGAACCAGTCCCCGCTTTCCTTGGAAGAAAAAAACCCAAACCTAAAAAACCTCCTCTCAGAGCACCCCAGACACATACCTGAAGCAGAATTTTATTTCCTTCATAGTCCCGCGTTTGCCACCTGGTGCTACTGACAGGAATACAGGGGTTAGGCAGGAGAGGCACCAGCTGCCCAATCTCTCGCACCTTGAACTGCAAGGCTGATGACTCCTTCGGCTCAGCAGCCACCCCGACGGGCAGCTGCTTCAAGCAGAGCTGCACGGCAATGTTTTGGGTTGCGTACAACACGAAGACACAGAAGTTACTTTTCTGCATAGTCGCTTCTTGCTGTAGGATCATCTCATAGAGTCTCACTGCGTCCTCATAGTTATCAAAACTGCAGTAGAGGGTGACACGCAGGATTTCAGGGCCACAGTGCACCCGCCTGATGCCCCACACAGGCATCTGGTCATCCAGGCTGTAGAAGTCCTGGTGAGCTGGGGCATAAGGGTGGCTTTGCCCATTAGCAATCTGGGCACACTGGTAGCGCCAGGGTGGACGCTGGAATTGCTCATGGACCTGGAAAATCCGTTCTTCTCCCAAGTCCTCATGTAGAAAAAGGAGAACAGATATTCCAGGAAAGCCACAGCTTCTCTTACGATATCTCTCATAGTATTTCAATGGAGTAACTCGCTCGGACACCGTGAAAAGGCGAATGTCTGGGCAGATCCACTCCAAAAGCCGATCCAGAGTTTGCTGCAGAAGCAATAAGTGTCCTGAATTGGCGAGAAGGTGCACAGTCATCAGAAAGTCTGCTCTGTCATCCATTGCAAAGGTTCCTGACAAAAAATAAAACCGGACAAATTGGTGCCTTCCCTCTCCTTCTCCTACTACCAGAGCCTCAGTAACACGAGGGGTGTACTCTAAGACTTCAATCAAATGAATTCAATCCTCTACAGGCTTTGCAATAACCCGATGAAATACGCAGGTACGCACAGTTAATGTGCACAAGGAGGCAGGCAAGGAGTGATGAGGCATTACGTGACCAGTCCCAGGTCACTCACATCAGAGCAGAGCTCAGCTGAAGGCTCATTTTCCAACTCCAAGACTTGAGCTCTGGTCACTGTGTACATGCAACTGATGCGTCCAGAAACACCTGTGTGTCCTACTGCTCCTGTCCTTCGCAACACAGGGCAGCAGAGATGAAGAGCACTGAAACACAACAGCAGTAATTCTCCAAGATGAGGTGATGTTGTAAGCACACTTGCCTGTCAGCAGTGGAAGCAGATGCTCCGGATCCATCCGAGTCCCACCAGTGTGCATCTCAGTGCGATTGCAGCCTTTTGCAAAGGCAATGTGGCACTTGAAAACCTCAGCATGTTTTCTTGTAGTCAGCAGGCTGGTTTTAGCTCATTGTAAAAAGCTCATGATCTTTGCGAGTCACACCCTTCTGGGGTGTACAGATAAGCTATTCTTTAGAAACAAGGAAGGAAAACAGACTAACAAAAGAAAAAAACCCAACATGTGAACACAACCGATAACAATAAGGGCAGATATGAATCAGCCTCAGGAAAGAGGAGCTTTGGGAAAAAACTTTGACTCCTAGTTATGCACTTCACAACACAGGTGGCTTGCTGCCTAGCTGGAAACCAGGTTCTGGGTTATTATACATAGCCCATAAAAGCTGGGTACCAGGCTTCCCCCTTTCAGTGCTCTGTTTGCCTCTTTTCTCTCCCCCTCTCTTTTTTTTTTTTTTTTTTTTTTTAATGCTGAGATACCCATGTAATCAGCACCCTTCAGCAAACTCCAGATTTTTTTCCTTGCTCCTTGGGTTTACATATTGGCACTTAATTTAGCTTATTGTGTAGACTGCAATAGGAATGCTGAATATACACCTCTTTCCAGGCCTCTTCTAGTATCTAGACAATAAATCACACTGTCCCTTCATCTCCTTATTTTTCCAACCCAGGAGCAATACATACAAGTCAAGCCAACTCCCATTTTCTATACAGAACTGCCCCCACTGCAGCCAGTATTTAAATCAGAACTGGGGCCTCCAACGATGCATCCAGCTCCATCTAATTAAGAACAACACATCTCTCTCTGCTGATATACCAATTTCCCTCTCAAACAGCCAAGCACACAAAGCAGTGGTTCACTGTGCACAAATCCCAGCATTAATAAGAGTCTGTTATTCAAAACTCTGAACTAATTTTTTTAATTTTTTTTTTAAATACAACCCTAGCTTTATATTCAGCTGAGCAAAATCTCCAAGGTCTAAAGGCACAAGTAGCAGTGCCTTGGTTTCCTTTACGTAGAAGATCACTCTCACTGGTAGAAATTCACATTCATGCTTTAAAATCGTACTGACACCAATGTGCAATAAAAATAAAAAGGCCGACTAGAAAGTGAGGAAAAAAATTAATTTGTACTGATAGAGACAAACCCATCCGCAACACTTCCAAGCAAGCAACAACAACTGTTGGGAGGAAGACAAAAAAATCCAGCCTTCGGACAATTGCAGGAAGAGAGCGAAGAGAAGAGTGCAAGTACTCAAAACATTAAAACGCTCTAGATGAGGTCTGAACAACACAATTTTACTAAAATATGGAAAAGGAAATGATTCATCAACCCTTTGCTAAAGGCCAGGGGGCAAGCAGTCATCTGCCTTCCTGCAGGTGAGGAAAAGGGGCATTTTGCCTGTACAAGAAAACATGGAAACAAAGAAACAAAGGAAGTTCATCGGGGCTCAGTTTGTAGCTGGGAGCACCAGCTGCATTTCAGGGTCCCTGTTGTGGTGGGAAGCAACGGTGCTGGGCACGGCAGAGATGCCCGGCACGGCCATGGCGGCAGCGTGCCGAAGCAAGGCATCACCCTGCGGTGCTGCCTTAGGGCCAGACAAACGAACACAGACCCGTAAGGGTCAAAGCGGGTAGATATGAGTGAACACAAACACGGGTGGGAGAAGCAATCCTCACCCCATGGGTACAGCTGTGGGACCGCAGGCTGGCGTATGGCCAGCAACGCTGACAGGGGCTGAGCTGGCAGTTGGGTGAAAGTGGCGGCTTTGCGCCCAGCAGCAGCCTGAAACAATGGCATTACTAGGGAAAGGATAGCGAGGGAAATGGAAAACATGGTATGGCAACCTATAAATCCACAGCGCATCTGTACCTTGAATAGTATGTGCTGTTCCAGCTGCCCTTTAAAAAGAGAGATGTGGAGATTTAGGGAGAAAGCAGGAGGAGGAAGACAAGAGTAATGAAAGAAGCCGCTTCAGTGAGGGTAGCAAGCTGATGAGGACCTTCAGCCTGGAGAAGGAACCATGGCAGGATATACTATAGATCTATAAGGTTATGAGTGGCATCAGGAGGGTAAAGGGGCAGCCATAGGTTAAAGTACCCTCCCAAAAAGCAGCAAGGGGACCAACTGCAGCTACCAAAACTCATTTCCGAGCAAGTGAGGAAACACTTCTCCACACACATCGTTAAGCCTGCCACAAGGCAATGTGATAGTAGAAGTTTTTGGGGATTCGGAAGGTGACTGAGCACATGCACGGATGTGGGATTTACCAGACTGCTAGGGGCTGGGTGGCAAGTTCAGGGACATGCCGCAATGCCTCTGAAAACGCAGAGCGTGTGCGTTGGCTCAGCCGCAGAGCTCTTGCTCCACCATGCTCACCCCACCTGCACGCTCGCTCCCTCCCCGGGTGACCACCCCCTTGGGCTGCTACTACACCGCAGTCCCGGTACCTCCCCTCCCTTTCCGCTTCTCCCACAGAGCAGGGCACCCCGCCACTTCTCCACCGGCAAACCGTTCATTCTCATGGGCGTGAAGAGGGAGCGAGTGCTGCTCTCCTTGCACAGTCCCATCAAGCACTACAGGCTCACACGGCTCTCTGTCCCCATCCCCACTCGAATCGCATCAGCCTGGCGGTTTAAAATCCCATGGGGGCAGCAGCGTTGTAGTGAAGAAGATAAAGTACTGGTAACATGAACTCTTGCAAAGCAGCTGTAGAGAGTAAGGGCTGGCAAGCTGGAAGGAGTAGGGGTTTGGAAACGATGCAGACACCACATCTCCCTCCAGCTCCTGCTGTAGCCAGTGGGAGCCAAACTGGTTTCCAGAAGGGCAGGTGCCTCCCACAAAGACTGCTGAAGGTGACCAGCATCTCTCCTGTGCAGAGCTGGGATCTAATGTAGCTGCCACCTATTTCAAGTGTCACCAGGTTTTACAACGGCCAAGAAACTGAGCCTACACACAAAAAGGGCCAAATCACGAACCCTGCCACCATGCCGTGTTTCCTCTGTGAGCAGTGCGCTTGCTGGGGTGGGACGGAGAAGCAGTCTCAGCTGTGAGCTCTAGCTGATAGAGCTGCCTGGAGAACAGTTTTAGGCCTGGTTCTCGGACCCATAAGCCCTCCAGCAGCTCCAGGTCAGGGGTCCCCACCACTCCCACCACAAGGAGCATGGGATGAACTGAACATCAGCCTTGCCTGAACCCCTCCTTCAGAGAGCAGCCCCACCACCCACGCTGGCTAAGCACCATCCAGTAAAGGAGTGCTCTGCTCCTCTTCCACTTTGCTTTGACATCTAAATGTCCATGGGGAAGGGCTCAAATCCAGGCTCCTCAACCTTGGGCAAGGGTATTCTCATGCCCTCACTTTGTCCCCAATCTATTGCTCCCCTAAACCTTGGGGTAAAGCCAGGATGCCGTGACCCTTGCTGCTGCAGCCTGGTGAGTTTTGACCTCCTCACCCACTGCTTTTCTCAGAGGCACCAAGAAGGTCTCAGGTAGGAAAGGGATGACTGCCATCAGAACAAAGTGCTGCATTTTGGTGGATCTTGTAAGAAAAGGAAAGTGCTGGTTTCGCTCCGATCCCCCAATGTAATGAATCCTTGCCTTCCCCTTTGCTCCCCTTTCCCCCAGCTTTCCAGTCCAGCTGCCAAACGGAAAAGCACATTATTCATACTGACCTACTGAACACTCCAAGAAAGATTTCTCTAAGAGATTAGAAAAATAGCAGTTCAATCTTATGTGAAAAGTCACTCTGCTGAGGGGAGGGGGGAAAAAAATTCTGATATGGTACTCAAAAAATATGTTGGAGCTGCATTCCCACATGCTAGCGGCTAGCAACACAGCAGAACGTATAGCAGAACGACTGCTGGGGTAGTCCAGCTTCGTGTAAGAGCAGGTCAGATACGAATATTTGTATCTACCACCAATATATACACTAGTAAGCCCTGCATAAAATAAAGTCCAAAGGTAAACAACTAACAAACACTTTATTGTGTGAAGCCTCAGAGACTACTCTCTGCTACGTGTTTAAAATCTTGTGGAGGAAAGGCACAGCAAAATAATTAAAAAGTCTTTGTCATAATGAATTCTTAAGATGTGCCTAGTCCTCTGTGGTACTCAGAGCCCTTCACTCTAGCTGACACCAACAAGACTGATGATGCATCACAGGATTTAATAAGTTTATAGTAACATCTGTAAGGAAGTTACTTTTTAAGGATTTAGGCTTTGTATGGTAGCACATAATTAACTTAAGAGAGACTGGCTGTGAATTACCTAATCATCTCAGGAGCAGGCCTCATAAAATACCTGCAATGTCTTGGGCTTACTAACTGTTAAAAGACCTTTTTTTGTTTTACGCCAAATTCAAGCGCTGCCTATAACAAGGACAAAAATCCTAAATTAACCTGCTAGATGACAATTATCTGCAGCATAGACAGTACTGAGACAAAAAAAATCAGGATTAAGGTCTTACTTGGAAACTATAGGCTTTTCAAAGAGTTCGTCTCTTGCTCCAAACCTTGTGACTCCAATTCATCATCACTTCAGAGAAAAGTAAAACCCCAATGACCAAAAGAGCAAAAAACCATCTAGCCTACTGCATTTTTTTAAGTAGACTTCTCTCCCAAACAGTTCTTGTTTCTTCTTTTTAACCAGCTAACAAAGAGTAGGAATCCAGCGAGGGTCTGTCAGCAGACACAGAAAATACAGAGAGCTCCACTGCACACTGCAAATCAGGATCCAAGGGCACACACGCACAAAAGAAAAGGAAAATAATTAAAAAACCCCAACCAATCAACCAATCAAAAAAACCCCCCAAAACAGTTATAAAGAGGAGAGGGACAGGGCAGCTTGCTGCAGGCTGCAGCCTGTCTTACCTCGCAGAGCTACCAGGAGGGCTGACCCTCGGCCGCTGCTGGGAGTCGCAGCTCCGACCTGGCAGCAGCATCAGCGCAGCGGGCTGCAACTCCTCCCATTGACGGGACCCAGCGACTTGAGACTCCTGCTGTGAGAAACACTATGCTAGGAGATGCACCGACAAGATAGAGTTTCAAGACTCACGGGAGA